ATTGATTTTTTTTTTCATTTTGAAAAAATGATTGGCCTACAAAAATTGCCTATAAATTTCTCATTATGCTATATTATTACTAAATATTAGATTTTAAAGTAAATATATATTAATTGTGCTTTTTTCCCACTCTGAACTGAGGTGCATAAGCTCAGATCAATGAGGCCTATGATCAATCAGTTCCAAAAAGAAATACAAAACCTGTGCTAAATGACAGAAAACAAGCTGACAAAAAGATTGAATAACGATATATAGCATAACGAGAAAATGACAAGCAATTTTCAGAAGGCCGGTCACTTTTCAGCTAATTAGGTAAAGGATTTTCAGCACAGAAAACAAGAATAAATGCAGTTTTTCCATGTTTTATTTTATTTAATTTTTCAGGATGCTTTGATGAATTGAATGTTCAAAAGAACAGCAGTTATTTGAAATACACATTTTTGTAACATTATAAACGACTTTTCACATTTGTCTTAAAACTTTTGTTCAAATTAAAGCGTCCTTGAGAAATAAAAGTATTAATTTCTTTAAAAAAATCGAACGACTCCAAAACTTTGAAACTGAAGTCTACACTCTAAAAAATGCTGGGTTAAATACAACCCAGTGCTGGGTAAAATAGGGACAAACCCAGCAATTGGGTTGTTTTGACCCAGCGGTTGGGTTACTACCCAGAAGGTTGGGTTAAACATTTAACCCAACCGCTGGGTCAAAACAGCCCAATTGCTGGGTTTGTCCCTATTTTAACCAGCACTGGGTTGTATTCAACCCAGCATTTTTTAGAGTGTATGCATGATATATAATATAGAAATGAATATTCAAAACATATCTAAAAATAAATGCATTTTATTTTCTAGTTTTTGCACATAGTGTTTGAGCTGTTGACTAGTTTGATCATATTTTTCGTAGTTGTAAATAAAAAAGTATTAGAGTACGTTTAGGCTTTCTACCAAACTTCACATTTAACTCAATCTGCTACTTGCTGTTTCATTGTAACTGTTTGTGAAGTGTACTAGAAATGTCTGCATGAAAATAGTTTCTACACCACACCAGTTTCTGTGTAATCTTTGCTTTCTGTGACATGGATACTGTATGTTTCCTTTTTCTTCTCTCCAGCAGGAAAACAGGAGACGCCGGCGGCCAAAGTGGCGTTTCAAAACAGGCAAGTCCAGAATAGCATCTGTTTCAGCACATTTTCATGTAATTGTGATCACAGTGGGATCATCCGGGCTGTGCGTGTTAATTCAGGAAAACAACAGCACAGCCGTAACGGATCAGACGAGCGCGAAACCTTCAAAAACAGCCGATCCGAATGATTTAGTGTACGCCAGCGTCACTCACAGCAGACCCAGAGAACCCCAGAGAGCTGGAGATGAAGACGAGGTTCAGTACGCCAGCATCCAGCACCACAGAAACACCAGGAACACGACTGCGGAGGCCGGATGTCAGTATGGAAACACTGTTTCTGCCGGGTGAGACACACTCCATCATATAGCATCAATAGGGTTAAAGATGTGAACAAACACACAAACTCTCTTTCTTATTAAGAAAAATGAGGCACAGGTAGCTTAGACGAACAAGTTTTTATGGGTGCACAACATGGTTCATCTTGTTTTGTCTTTTTTATTCTTATTGAACAGATCAAATGCTGAAAAGGCGGATGATTCCGATGTGATCTACAGCAGCATCAAAGTTGCATGAAGAATCGGAGCGTCACTGAACATGCTTCTCCATTTTCCTACATTGAAGTCGGCATGAAATAGAAGTTGCGACTAAAAAGCGATTCCTCTTAACAAACAAGACTTTATTTTATACATCGGATAGGCCTACATATGGATGGATCGATCACAGAAAGATGCATTAAGAAAATAAATAGGGTGAATTTTAATTTTTACTTTGTGTTGACGTTTGAGTTGAAATGTGCTTGTGTGACCGTGTGCGGTGACTTTAAATACACAACACTTGTGTGAGAAACAGGACGTGAAACTATAAGAGCTGTGAGCAAGCATATGCAAAACTTCCATTTCTGAATGGAGGAGAGGTTTAATTACGCTGAATAAACTGCTTTTGTGAGGAGACTTACGCTTAACATTTTATTATCGGCTAATCTTTGCCAAAAATGTTTTGTCAAAGCAAACGTTTAGCATGTTCTCACACAAGTCTTTAACAATAGTGAATTGGATGCTGTATTTATTTGCCTTTAAAGGATGCATTTTTGAGCTCTTCTTGTGTTGTCTGAAACTCTATACCTATTTCTAAAGGTGAATTGACTTGTTGAGAAGAGGCGCAAACACTGAGATAGAGGAAGGCTGGCATTCATTTTTGACGTGATATTCATTAATAGTTCAGCAGTTTAGCAGCAGTTTAACTTCCCGTCATGCTGCTGTTCTTATCATTTCTTATCTGTGACCATTCCTTCCTGTTTATACTACGTTTAGAAGAGTTAAAAATGTGTAGAAAGGATTGAGTAAACAATAAAATAAGGTATATTGTGTTTTTGGTGAATGCTGGTTTGATCAGTATTGTTTATCCTGTACATAATTATGAGTGAAGCTCTTTAAACCAGTGCTTCTCAATCAGGGGCCACGGGCCAATAGGGGGCCTCAGAGATCCTCCAGGCCTATAGTAAGTGTGCAGTCAGGTTAAAAGCGGCTGCTTTAGTGGTGTTTTTGCTGTTTGGTATGGCAGCTGGATTTGTGCTTATTTGTTCAAGTTACTGTATAATTGAGCAGGGTAGCTTAAATGCTTTTGAAGTGGTAAAAAACATGAGCTTTGAATATGTTTAATATATAAGTTAGGTATATAAGTATAGCTTTAATGTACAAAGCAAGTTTGCAAAAAATAATACTGAAGATTTAAATCTATCTTGTATTTACTTAAATCGCAATAAGTTGACAACAAGACAAGTTTTTGTGTGCATGAGTTTCTGTACTGCATGTGTATGCTTGCAAAAAGAGAGAGAGGTGGAGAAAAACAGTGCGCTTTTCATAGATAATAAAAGATGCGCGCACACACACACACACACACACACACACAATTTCTCAGATATTTCTGGTTTCATGATTTATATTATCAATAGTTAGTATAATCCTGCAATTTATTTCATTTATTTTCCAACCTTCCAACACAAAATGATTGCTTTCGATCTCTAGATCTGTGGTGTTTGAGGAAATCCTGAAGATGTTGCACTGAATAAAACACTAGATGTTGTTCCACATCCTCATCTGTAGATGTGTGTCAGGTAAGCTGAATTGTGTAAAGTGAAGCTGCTGTTCGAGGTGTTGCTGTTCAACGATGCTCACATGCTAAGTGTTGCTAAAGTTTGCATGAGATACACTTATTTGTAATATTTTTTAAGCACCAGTGTGTGATATTGATATTGTGTTTTATGCAATCAGTTTATAAGTGAGTTTCAAACAGCTGATATTCAATCTTAAATCACAAGGTTTCATTTTCAACCTTTAGAACAAAATAACCCCATTTACAACATTTGGTCATCATTTACTCACCTTCCAAAGCATTATGGTGATATGCTTTTCATGTTTGACATCTCATTTTATACAAAGATTGAGAAATATGTAACAGTTAAATGTGTATTTGCTTTGTGTAATATTTGCTGTCTTCAACCTCATTGCTACCAATCTCATCCAATGAATTGTGTAATAAATAGATCAAATAAACAATTTTTTTTTGTACAGTCAGTTGGTTTTGAGTCCAAATTCAAAATGAACCGAGTGAAAATAACCTAGGTTGTTTTGTTTTTGCTTCTCATTGTCCCTGATCTTAAAAGTGAATTTAGATGGTCTTAGTCGACTTTCCATTTTGCTGAAACTGCTCAAACAAGTCAGTGTGTTTGATATGTGTTTGTACTGTGTTTTTTACCCTTTTCTTTGTCAAAAGATAATAACTGGGCAATAACTGTGTATTAACTAGGTACTAACCCTGAACCTACCCTAAACCTAAACCAAACCCAAACGCATGTAATTACCTTTTATTGCTTCTAAAATCAGCATGTTGTCTAACAGTCAGACTGCTGTAAGAGGCAGTAAAATGCGCTTCATATTTTTGACCACTAGATGACAGTAAAGTCAATGGAAGTGCAGAAAAGATTGGAGTAATCCCAGTTTCTTCATTTTTGGGAATCTTTCAATAGATCAGTTCTTTTAGAAGAACAATACTATTTTTACTTGATCTTTTGTCAGTCTGGTAGTGTAAGTGCTTGTGTTGTCTCTCTGAGACTGGCTCTGACCCACTGAAACACAATGTATTTGCTCATGATTGTGGTACATGAGGTTGTGCTGCACCATCGCTCCATGTGTTAAACACAGAGTTTGAGTCAGAAAGAGGAAGTGAATCTAAGAGTTCTAAACTTTCATCTCTTAAAAACCCACTCAGACGCTCCTGCAGCCATAATGAGCATCTTTACACAGTTCTTTCTGTCATGTTTCACACGTTCTCTCACAAAGATTTAACTACAGTGAATTCTAAAGCTTCTTATTTGTTTGGATCTGGAGACTTTTCGAGTTGTGCTTATGTAGTTGAGATGGCGTCACACATATCCCGGAAGAGGAAGACAAATATTTTGAGCTGCATAATCAAGTGTGAAAACTGTAGCCATTTGACACTTTAAGCTGCTGATGTTTTTGTCATTTGGGCGTCGACACTCAGACATTGACACTGCAGCGCAGTAAGACCATTTTATTTAACATTAGGTAAATTAATAGGGCTACAACAGATTATTTGTAAAAATGTGGTCATGACTTAATATAAGCTCCAGAAGTTCAATATTTGATATAGATACATATGTCAATATTTTGTGAAGCTCTTTAGACACACAAGGCCTGACATGAGAAACATCCTCAGCACATGTCAAGCCTTCAATGAGCAGTGAATTAATCTGAAGTCATTATGATCTCTGTCTATTGATTATCAACACAATAAAGTTTGTGATGTTGTATAGATGATGCTCATAATGTCATAATTATTTTATGATTGCAGAAATCATCATGGTGACGCCACTCGTAACGTCTCTTCCTCTGATCTTGGTGATCATGACTGCGGGTGAGTCTTCAGTTTCAGTCACTAAACAGACAATTTAACACTCGTGAAAAGCTGATTGAGCTCTTCACACTTTGTAGCTCTTAAACTGACATGAGTGTTTCGCTGTCAGCAAACAAATAAAAATGTTCAAAATGAAAAGATACTTTATGTACACTGGTTCAAAACACCTGAAAAACCACCTAATTTTCTCAGTTTTGTGTTTCAGGGGTTGATGGTCAGCAGTATTGGGCAGTGAATTACGGTCCTTCATATGTTTGTGCATTAAAGGGTTCAACAGTGAAAATGTTCTGTGTTTTAAACCATCCACATGATCATCAGCTCACAACAGCCTTCTGGACCAAATCTGCTGTAACTGATGGAGAAATATCAAACCTGTGTTTAGACCCAGAAAAGAGCGGAAGAGTTCAGTGTGTCAGTGAATATAAAGACACTTACAGTATCACTTTGACGAGTGTAACAGAAGCTGATAAACACATCTACTACTGCAGATTCACTACAGACAGAGGAACATGGATAGGGATTCCTGGGGCTCGGCTGGATGTCACAGGTGAACTCTGGTGAGCTATAGTGAACTCTCACAAATACACCACAGACACACAAACACACACATCAAGCACTTTATCATGTAACTCCATCTGCCGTATGACATTCTTTCTTTTGAATACAAAGAGAAATGTTAAATTAAATGAGTACTCATTCATATAATGACTATAAAAGGTGAAGATGACTTCTTCATGCTTTAAAAAAAAGTTGCAAAACTGTGTCTGTAAGTTGCAAAACTGTATTTTTGGATCGAAAACCAGCAAACAATACAATCCAAGGCAGACTCAAAAGAGTAATCCACAAAACAGGCAAAGGTCAGGGCAGGCAGCAAACAATCACAGGAAACCAGGTAAACAGTCAAAGGATGACAACCACAGGCAAGACAGAAAACACAAAGATGTTACAGGTTAACAATATTCAGCAATCTGAGTGTTGTGTGCATCTTAAATAGTCCTCCTGATACGAAACATTTGTTAACAGATGTTAACATGAGTTCCTGGGCAGAGGGAACCTGGAAAATGGAGTCCGGGGTGAGTAATGACAGTAAAGGGGTGGAGTGCCCTCTAGCAGAGCTCATGGTCACTCCAGCTGGTAATTGTAACAGTGTGAACTATTTTGAGAAATCAAAAACAAGAGCTGAAACACAAGCTAAGGAGCTTGCCTGTAATAATAAAAAATCAATTAAAATGAAATAAAATCAATTACATTACAGTTTCTTTCTCATCAAAACCAGTCGTATGTCACTTGGAATATTTAGTATGAGTTGCATGGGAGTGTTTTTTATTCTTTTGCATCCTGTTTTTAAAGCCTGAAGATGGTCACCATTCACATTCACATATCATTTCATCTGTTTAACTGAATACGTGACTTGTATTATCTTAGAGCTGATTTTACTGTTATATGAAATTATCTTTTTGTCAGAAGAGATTAGTTTTTGTCTTGACACAGTCACTTGTGATTATAAGAAACTAAAGAAAGAGATTATAGGAAGTAATGCTAGATTCCGTGTTCATTTGGGCCCAAAGACATTGTTTTATTGAAACATACATTGGCTGTGAATCTACTTTGAAATGATTTTGTGTTGTGAAAAGTGCTATACATATAAACAAGAGCTGAACTGCTATTAAATGGACAATCATTAGCAGGACATTTGTTAACATCTTCTGAAAAAGAAAGGAGTCATGAACGGCTTTAGAACAACAGCAGAGTGATAAATAATGACTGAATTTTCATTTTTGAGTGAACTATCACTTTAAGCCAAGTACCGCTCACTGCTGAGCCAAATGGCCTGCAGCTCCCCCTCTCTAGATGTCCAGCTCCACCTCTGTGGAACTAATGGGTGGAGTCATGTTTAGCGATAGGGTAAAGGGTAGGGTTAGGGTGTGGTTAGGTGTCTAGCGCCACCCATTACATCCAACGAGGGCGAGCTAGAGCGGCAGCTCCTCCCATTTGGCTCGAGATGGTCCTCACTGCAGAACACAAGATCCAGGGCGCATGGTTGGATCCAGATCCAACACCTCCCACCTTACATATACCTAAACCTACCCGTCTCCACCCCCTGATCCCTAAACCTACCCATCTCCACCCCTAAACCTACCAATCTCCACCCTCTAGATGTGGATCCAACCACGCCCCCTGGATCTTGTGTTCTGCAGTGAGGGGCTGCTGTTAGGCTCTGCAGCGAGCACCCTCTTCTTTAAGCTGATGAATCAGTGAGTTGTTGTTGTTGTCAGATCTGCAGGTGGAGACAGAGCAGAGTGTGAAAGAGGGAGATTCAGTCCGTCTGATGTGTAAAAGCAGCTGCTCTCTGCCTCAACAAACAACATTCATCTGGTACAGAAACACACAGAGATTAACTACAGGAGTCATCACAGTGAATCAGCTTCAGCTGCAGTCAGTCAGTCGTTATGATGCAGGAAACTATCAGTGTGCTGTTTCAGGATATCAACATCTGCCCTCTCCTGCTGTTTATCTTAATGTTGAATGTGAGTACAAACGGATTCATTAACATTAGTAAAATATTTCACTAATTATTGAGATTAAATTACTCAGAATTTGTTTCAGGCCCAGTAATATAGGCTGCATGATGTTTTTGTTTATATGACAGGATTTATTTTTAATAATGTAATAATATGTCAAATTAATGTGAATCAGGAATCTGTGTTTATAGACCCTCTTTATGACTCATGGGTTGATAAATCAGTAAATGTGACTGTTTTATTTGTTGTGCACCAGTTCAGATGTAGATTTATATCTTTGGATCTCATCACTGAAATAAAGTCTCTTGATTTCTACTTAGATACACTTCAGTAATTGTTAATAATGATAATGGAAAGTCTTTGCATAAATAAAATAATTATGTTCATATTTTAAATATATTTAATCTAGATCCTCCACAGAGCGTCTCAGTGTCCATCAGTGCGTCTGGTAAAATAATGGAGGGAGATTCAGTGACTCTGATCTGCAGCAGTGACCCAAACCCACCTGCAGAAATCAGCTGGTATAAAGGAGGAAAGTCTGTAGGATCTGGAAGAATCTATAACATCACAAAGATCAGCTCTGATCACAGTGGAGAATACAAGTGCAAGTCCAGAAATAAATATGGAGAGAAAGACGCAGATGCTGTGATGCTGAATGTGATGTGTGAGTGAACGCTGGTGCAAGAACTGAGAACAGATCCTCTAGTTCCACTGTGTTTTATCACTGTTCATTGATGAGACATTTCATTCTTTGTATTTTAGATGGTCCAAGAAATGTTGTGGTGACCCTTAATTCATCTGGTGAAATAGTGGAGGGAGATTCAGTGACTCTGAGCTGCAGCAGTGACTCAAACCCTCCTGCTCTGAACTTCAGCTGGTTTAAAGGAGAAACATTTCTGAAATCTGGTGACACCTACAGCATCACTAACATTACGTCTGAAGCCAGTGGAAACGTTTATTGCTTTGCTAGAAATGAACATGGATCTAATGGCTCTGCTGCTGTGACTGTGAATGTCATGTGTAAGTCTACCTTTATTTTTGGTCAGATCTGGCTGATTATTTTTTTTATTATTTGTCTTACTGCATGTCATTTTACATTTTTGTCTTTTTAGATCCTCCAAAGAGCATCTCGGTGTCCATCAGTCCGTCTGGTGAAATAGTGGAGGGAGATTCAGTGACTCTGAGCTGCAGCAGTGACTCAAACCCTCCTGCTCTGAACTTCAGCTGGTTTAAGGAGAATCAAAGCTCAGCTGTTGGATCTGGACAGAGTTTCAGCATCTCCAGCTTTAACTCCAGTCACAGCGGACGCTACTATTGTGAGGCTCAGAATAAACATGGATCTCAGAGATCAGCATCTGTTTCAGTCTCTGTTAAAGGTATTCACCATAAACAGACACTCTTTGAGTTTCATCTGTCTCTAGTGTGAAATGATCATCATGAACTTCTTTTTTTCAGGTGTTCAGAGAGCTGCTCTGCACACAGTTACTGGGATTGTGGTGGGATGTGGAGGATTGATCATCATCATCATCAGTGTGTTTATTAAGTGAGCTCCTGCATTATAAAGACATTTTACAAGTTAACACAAATGCAGAATTTGTTAAACTTACTGCAACATGTTAAAGGTTACTTGCAATAAATTATACTGTTCAGTACTTTGTAACAAAATTTCCAGGAAGAAAAGGAGAGACGGTGGAGCTGAAGTTGTCAGACAAAATCAGGCAAGTTTGATAATACATACCTCAATCTACAAAAGCAGCAGGATCATGATATAGATATTATATTTGACTATAAAAATTAAGACTTAAAAAGTCATGTACTGTTGCTTGACTAATATTTGAGAAAATAATTCAGATTGATCTCACGATAACTGTGTGATTATTATTTTATAAAACAGCAGGATGATCGTGTGGGCAGATCAACAGAAACGGCTCCGACCAATGACGTTCCAGTGTATTCACTAGTATCAGCCAATCAGAGGGATGATCTGTATGCCAACATTAAAGTGAAGAAACCCAAACGCTCTGGGAAAGAACAAACAGAAAAAGAATCTGGAGGTGCTGAAGAGATTCAGTATGCCAGTGTTCATCACTTCAAGAACAAAGACATGAACAAGACTGAAGAGACTACTGAGATGCAACATCTATCTGATGCCAATAGGTGAGAAACGATTCGTCTGAACCCAAATGAAACCTATTCAATGCTTAATCAGACCTCTTGTTTTTTTGTTGTCGAAATGATGGATTGTCACCTGCTGGTGGGATTTTCTGAAATGCCATATTCTTTTAATTTCTCCCCAGATCTGAGGATGTGATCTACAGCTCAGTCAAATGAAGAACATGTGGTCGATCCGCATACTATTGATGCTCATGGGAAACCTGGATTTGAGTCCATCCCAGGTCATGTTCTAATTTCTCCCCAGATCTGAGGATGTGATCTACAGCTCAGTCAAACGAAGAACATGTGGTCGATCCGCATACTATTGATGCTCATGGGAAACCTGGATTTGAGTCCATCCCAGGTCATGTTACAGCTCCCTCTCTGCTTGATTTCATCCATTTACATATTTATGGGACTGTTCTGCTGTTTGGACATTAATGGCTTTCAGCTTAAAATCCACTAGTTTATTACGATCTTAATTGTGAATATCACACACACTGCCTTCACTCTACACTCACACATGGACGCCACTCAGACCTGTAATAGCCCTTTAGCGCTCGCTTTGTAATGTTAATGTGGAACAAATGTTTTCTTTTGTGTGTTTATACTGTCATTTTATTGCTAAATACATACAATTTTAACATTGTCAGAAAGTCTTTATTTTCATTATGACATCATTGTTATGACAATTTAGCACATTTGATCTTAATTGCTGCTCTGGTCTATTTGCCTGTAAATACCTGAACCAAGTTATAATAATTTTCAACTACCTGCTCATAAGACATATGTTTTCAGGTATCTATTTTTATTTGGTTATTGAAAGTGTTGATGTCGTTAGTGACATTCACACAAAGGCACTTGTAACCATAATTTTAGCCATTTAAAATGAATTAAAGTAAAAAAAAATGACAATGGAGCTTGGCAACAAGCTTCACACTGTAAGTTGATGAGTTGGTTTACCTGCCTCTGGTAATAGAGCCTTTAGATGTATGCTGAGGCTTTTGAGGTCGGTTAGAATCTGCAATCTCTGATCCAGTTAGTTTACTGGGTTCCATGGCTGCAATACGCTTTATACCACCAACTGGCAACCCGGGGTGTCGAAATACTAATGGGCAAACTGGCAGTGTGTGGAATCAATCAGACCAAAACAAAAACAGACATTCCGACACAGAACCAGTGTTGCCAAGTCTACAGTTTTCTGATGGAATTGGCCTAGTTTTATACTGCTGCCATGGGTTGTTTTTTTAGTCCGTGGGTTGAAGCAAAGGCTTCCACCCCCCAGGAATATGATTCTGACCAAGGTGGAACCCTGTGTTGTATATAAACAGTCATTTCAGCATTTTATAGGAATGCTCCAGGTACTAACATAACCTTGGGTTCCCTGAAATAACGGCAATGAGCATTGTGTATACCATGCTAGAGGGAAAATTCTGTTTTCTCAGAATACTGAAGCCTGATTTGTTAATGTTCTTGTTGCTACCCAAACAAATGGAATTTCAGCTCGCCAAAACGAGCAGGGCTGACTGCCTATACAAGTCAGCACTGAGTGCCATTGTGCAAATTGGTGCAAATTGGAAGGCAAGCGCGAGACTTCTTTGAGGGAGGTCCAGCCATGGCAGGACTTAGTCCTCTCCTTTTCTTTTCTGCTGAATCAGGATGGATTCTGCAGCTCAGTGTCCAGCATCACTTTGGCCCTGGTGCTTGGGGAAGGGATATCGCTTTGCAGTCTGAGGGCGCTGTCGGAGCTCAAGGTTTGACTTCGACTGAGGCTGAGAAGGTGACTGAGCAGGATTTGCAGGCTGTTGAGTCGGCGGAGCCTTCTGGCGACATGAAACAGGAAGTGGTACATAGCTTCCGATGACTTCTGCACTGCAGTGAAGCGCTCCACGAAACCATCCAGAGCACAGCCAAACAGCCCAATGGGGGAGCCTGGGGAGTCGAGGAAGGTGGCCTTGTCTGTGTCCTTGATCTTAGTAAGGTTTAACCAGTAGCACTGGTTTTCGTAGCACGTAGAGTCAGGTCAGTCACGCTGCTCAGCTCCTTGAAAGAAGCAGGGTTCGGGCCTGACTCTTCCATGGCACAGAGGAGCTTGGCCTGGAAAATCTGGAGGACCATTATGGTATGGAGCACTGAGCCAGCTTGTCCAGCCATGGAATATGTTTCTTCCTCCGAGGCTTCTGGGAGGGGAGAAGCAGGAGAGTGCGAGGGGCGGGACGGCTTTCATGAAAGAAAACAATCTGCAAGTGTAGCAAGGCGAGACTCATGCTCTCATAATGAGGCCAGTCTGTTTCCGTTTTCCTCTTCATGGATGCAGCCCAGGCAAGCGACGCACTCAATATGCTCGTCCCAGGCATGCACGGGTGCTCTGCACATGGCAAGTAGCCGGTTTCTTCATTTTTCTTTCTTTGGCATCCAGTGAGGAGATGATCTTGGTGCTGTAGGAGAAAGATTGTGATTGTGAAAAATTGTGACTTATATGAGCAGTCGTCCCCCACCTTTTTGCATGCTAAAATGCATTTGTTTGTGCATCTACACGTATGTTAACAAATCAGGCTTCAGTATTTGGAAAAACCTGAGTTTTCCCCATAGTGTGGTAAATGCAATGTGAGTGAACCGTATCAATGTGAGGGAACGCGTCAATTTAGAATAAGAAAAGAATAGTTTCTTTCTTACCTTTGTAGTCTGAAAAGTCCATTCAGAGAAAAAAAACCTTTATGTACAGTTGGCAATGTGTAACATGAGGACGCACAATTTTTGAGGAGGTTGCATATTGCGTTCGTCCAATTAATGACACTGACATTGCAAATATGCAAATAAGAACGTTAACCCATGGAATTTACAGAGTGAAACAGCAGCTTATGAATACACAGGATTAATTGTTAACCCTAGGTATATTATAAGCAGTGTGAAACAAGAAGCAAGATAACCCTGGATTCAGTTTACCTGGGGTTTAGGATGACCCAGGGCTAACTATTTCAAGTGTGAAAATTTAGGTTATTTTTTTCTTGTGAAAGTTGAGACTTATTTGCATAGAGACAGGAAATGTTATCATTTATATCCCCTGCTTATCACGCCTGTTTAGTCATCAAACTTACCATTTACACTTTGACTACTAATGACCTTTTTTAGTGTGCTTTATGAATATTTGTAATGTACACAACAATATATAATACATTAAAGTTTTCTAGATATCAAAGTGTACGTGTGTATATACTGAAAAAAAGCAGCTTTATTAATATACTAGTAGTGTAATGCTAATGCATTTCCAATTAGCTGAAATACAATTGAAATTTACTTGAAGTACATTAAAACGATGCTTCAAATATACTCTAACTGTAGTTCATGAAGTATTAAAAGGACATTTTAAATGTATTTTAAGAAATACACTTAAATTGCACTAAATATACTTAAAGTGGTTCCATTTTAACACAATTTCAATATATTAAATATATTACAAATAGATTAAAATCCAACTTGAACATATCTTGAAATACACAATATACTTAAAGTTGTTTCAAAATAATACATTTAATATGCACTTAGTATAGTATAATTTAAATATAGTAAGTATGTCTGAAAAAGCACAATTTAAATATATTTATTTTTCACCTGGGCAAAGCTACAGCAAACAGGGTATGCGAGTTTTATTTGGTAAAGAGTTTGTGAAATGTAGTGTGAGAGAAGAAACTGATAGCTTTTGGTACAAAATGTTTGTGGGTGGGTCACTTCTTAATAGACCAAGTTATGCCAAACAGGACCTTAGTGGACCATTATATCACATGGCCTGAGGACACTGCACTAAGCTTGGAGACACTAAATTGATTCATTTGAAGTAAGCAAATATGTAGATATTTATTATGATGAATATGATTTGGTAGTAGGTCAGCTAGGCAATGTACGAAGCTTTAAGCTCTCATTCCCTTTTTTGAGTCCTGTGACTTTTACTATTACGCAGTGCCTACTCCAGACGTGAGCAGTGTGACACAGCAAAAGCCATTAAAACCCATTATAACCAGTGATATTTTCCACACTGGATGCGGCACAAAACGATGTGACATGACAGATCCCCGACAGTAAACTGATGCAGTGTAGACACGGTGTTAGAATGCAACATAATAATGTGATGTTGCAAAAAGAAAAGACAAATGGAAAGGCCAAAAGAAAAGCCTTAAGCTTGTTTGAGACTAATTTTTAACATGTATGAGCAATGTAACCACAGTTACATTGAGAGCAACACCTCCACTTCACCCCTGATCTTATCAGTTGTTTGGGTGATGGCGAGTCACAAGACGGTTTTTGAGTAGCATTTGTGCAGTGGTGGACGAAGTACTCAAATCAAGTACTTGAGTAAAAGTACAGATCCGTATAATAAAATATTACTCCAGTAAAAGTACTCAGTTTTCAATTTTACTCGAGTGAAAGTAAAAATTACTTGATTTTTTATGTACTTAAGTAAAAAGTACCGATAGATCAGTGTTACTCATTGCGCGGCTCGCCAAGCTTTACTTTGTGGCTCGCATGGCAGTAAATAATACGATGATATGATCATGCAGTCAATACAGATATTTCATAAAAACATTAAAAACAAGCAGGGCCATAACATAACCCATTAAAAAAGCTCACACCATGTCTACAGCGAACGCGTGTGGCGCGATCCGACAAAAGACAATAGAACCCAGTGATGTTGTCTACACTGGATGCGGCGCGGCGCCATGCGATGCGACATGATCCCCGTCAGTGAACTGATGCCTCGTTCTATTTATGACGAACTGTACTGACACTACCTTCAAATGATTTGCAACTGTCGCTTTGTCACGTCAAGTGTAGACAGACTTTTAGCGCAGCAGGGCGCGGCACGACAACTGTCGCGTCCGGTGTAGACAAGGTCAGACAGTGTCTGCTCTATTACAAATAATTTATATACATTAAAAAAAAAAATACCTAAAACAGCGGCATTACAAGATGGAAATATAGACTAGAAAAGATATTTACACTTGCTCTGTCCTACGTCCATGACACTGACTCACTGCGGAGTTGCCAGTTTTAATCTTAACGCCGAATGTGCACTTGGATGGTTAGATACATGATGGGCTAGTATAAAAAAATTAAATAAATGAAGGTCTTTCCAGCATTAAAGTAATCCTGCTTTTTTTTAAATAATCTTGTCTCAGTTACAAATTTGACTGGTAAATGATAAAAAATGATAGCCCCTTTTGTATTGCATTGCATTGCATATGACAGATTGATAAAAAGACATGCTATTTATGACTGGATGTAACTTTTGATACTTCGCGGTAAAAGTGGCTCTCCGATTGACTTTGCCCTGTCAGTGCGGCTCCCATGAAAAAAATAGTGAAGACCACTGCGATAGATGAATGTTTATTTTACAGTTTTATATAGGCTACTTTTAGCATTTAATTTTATATTAGCATATATTTTTTTTATAATCCTACCGCTCAAAATACCTGGGATTTTCCCAAAATAACCAATAAGGAAATAATGAATATAATAAGGAAAATATAATTATATTTTCATAATGATTTTTTTCTTCTCAAACTGAAAATGTTTCCATGCAGGCAATTAACTGCATTTATAATATCCA